AAAACAGAATAAAAAATGTAAAATATAATTGCCACAGAAATTTAACACCTGTAAAAAAATTCGCGAGAAATTTTTTTTCCAGTGATAGTATCTTTTTTTTACAGAGAAATTGTCATATATAAAATTCTTACATTTTTTGCCAAATAAAGCAGTGACTGTTGGTTTTTCAAAAAATTTGCACAAAAACGAAAATTCTCCTGTTCTACAATCTTAGATATTTTTTAAAAATCAGGGTTAATTTAATTTTGTAACAATTTTTCGCTTCCACCATATTTTAAAGGAAATTCCCTTTTTTTAATAGATTGGAGTAATGAACGTTTAATATTTTTTAAAGGGAGTAAATTTTAAAAAAAGAACCCCAGATAAAAGCATAAATTTCAAAAAATCTAATAATCGTTTTTAAAAACACATTCTTTGTAAATAGGGTTAGAACCGACATAAACTGACCAAGAAACTGTAACTTCTATAAAAATTATTTTTCAAAAAGCTTAAATTTAAAGTATTTAAAGGGAAAAAGTCGTATTAAACTTAAAAATTAAAGGACGCATGTATTTATAAAAATTTGGTGTGATTTTTAATTTTACATGTCAGTGTCTAAAATGCTACTAAAGCTCACTCCGTTAAACTTCGAAGACTATTGAATTTATACAAATCTTAAAAAAACCCGTTTAATCCTTTGGGATAAAACCCCACATTACATATATTCAAAAAGTCCCCTTATTTATTTCTCATGATACGGGTTTTGTAGGAAAAAAGATAAATTTTCCGAATGTCATAACTATCTTTGATTCATAATTGTAAAAACCGAGCATAAAAATTCGTATTTTATATCAGTTGGCGTTCATTGAATACATCCCAAACCCTTTTTAGCATTTTTGGACCCAAACGACTGCGTTGAAAAAAATTCCCAACTAGACTGCAAACCATTTGAAAAAATTTTAAACAAACCAGTGTCTGCTACGGGGGTTTTCCCTGGGTCCACCGTACATACAAATACCAAACACCCCCTTAATTCGTTGTAAGTCATTTTTTGTACGCAAGATAAAAATTGGGAACATTTCCCCCCCCTGTTTTTGTCCCTTTTTTAGAACATGAACCATTAAAAGTGCCCCTTTGATATTTACCAATTTGCATGTTTGAGTACTGATTTGATCGCTCAAAACGAAGTTGAGTCAATTCAAATTCATTTAAATTTTAAAAGAAAACCCCCAAGCCAAACAGTGTAAAAAGCTTTTGCGGCCGTCAAAAAAAAACATACATTAGAGCATATCTTTTGAGAAGCTTTTCCGTAAAGAATGACTCATTAAAACCAAACCTTTGAAACGCGCCTTTTTGGTACATTATATTTTCTAGAATATTATTTTGAAATTTTTTTAAAAAGTCCCCATTTCAAAAACTTCATTATTAAGAAGTCAATGAAATTTAAAAGGGTAGTTATCAGGGTTTTTTTTTCTTTTTTTTACCCTTTATGAAGTGTGACAAATTCACCTCGTTTCATGTTAGGGACATACATGAGAACATAAAGTGGTTAACTTTGTAAAATAGGCGATAAAATTTTTTTCCCAAAAATTGGTGTTCATATTGTAGTTTGGTATCTCCACCCCCTTTTCCCTTTTGGCAAAATTAGGGCCAATTCCTACTTCCGGCAAGACGACGAAATCCGGATGGGAAGGGGTATTTTCCAGTTAAATAAATTTTCCCCGATCAAAAAAATTTCTCCAATTTCATAAACCTATTCGAATTGGCAATAAAAATGTTTAAAAAATTCCCCCCTAGATTTTTTCACTACGATTTTAACTGTACACCCATTAAATTTCATCCCACACATAACGAAAAAAGATCAGTTTTTTTTCGTCGGGCTTTTTTTTTTTCCAAAAAAAGTCTGAGCCAGTTCGCTTTTCGACAAACCCCTCGTTTTTTTTCATGGATTTTGTTTAAACAACTTTCCTAAAATTTCGAGGGAAAATTACATTTGGGTTTTTTTTGTTTTATGGAAGCCGGGGTGAGATCATTTGCGGTCTACCTTCTTTACACATTCGTTTTATTTTCCCTTTTTCACTTTGTGCACCCTTTTTCCTATTCCAATAGAGTTTCAAATTTTTCGGCACATTTTTTTACCGGAATGCCCCTTGAAAAATTTTGATACTTTTTGACAAAAATTAAAATCAAATGCATTTATAATGCCCTTTTGGGGTCAAAGGTCCAATACTTCCCCAAAGCCCAAAATCATTTGTATAATGTGTTATATTGTCTAATTTTATTTCATTATTTTTTTCCAATTGATATATTTTTTTTTACAAAATTTGTTTAAATTTGCAAAAGGGAAAAGTTGTTGGGAAATATTGGTCTATTCTTGAAACTTTTAGAAAATGGTCATCCATAATAAAAAAATTAAAATCAATAATTTCTCGGGAAAATTATATCAATCAAGAGTGATACATATTACTTAAACTAGGAAAAGGGACCTAACAATAAGAAATAAATTCAACAAGATGACTTTAAAAAACTGTTTTAAGCTTTTTCAGTTAATTTTGAATCTAATAATTTTTGATTTAAAAATCGCCCAAAACAGGACGACCCTTTGCGGAGTTTTAAATGTGGGACAAATTTTCCCAAATAAACATAAATTAAATCTAGAAACAGGATTAATTCCTGGCAAGTAACTGAAACAAAAAATAATTGTCCAGGGGAAGTTTGCAAAATGAATGCCGCAAATAGGGGCATGTCCCTTTTAAGTGGTGTAACTAAACATTCAAACTTTAATGCAAAGTGCGCAAAACCCCCTTTACTATTTCTTTTGGGGAGGTACTAAAAAAAGTTTGTCCATTTCCCCTAATCTTAATTTGATATTTAAGGAACTAAAAATGCCATTTTTGGGGGTTAAAAAATTCAATATCCAAAATATATCAACGTTATCTTTTATAAGCATCACAAAAACGAAGAACTGGACATATTTTCCCGTAAAACCGTAAATTTGAAATTCATACTAAAGAAAAAAGGTTTTTTAGGAAATATAAAAAATTTTCCCCGTTGTAAAAACTGATGAAATTTTTGGGACATACTAAATCAATTTTCATTCGCCATGGGGGTGTTGTTAAAGTTTTTCTGCGTTCAGTCGAAAACGTGGGGGTAACTTCATTTGTAACCTCGTATTGTTAGATTCCCGGGGTCTTAATTTGTCCGGGGAACCCTTGCTTTTCACGTGACCCCCTCGGCCCCACATTTTTATGTAAAATCTATCGGAAAATTTATCGTCAATAAGCACAAGCGAAAATTACTTTATTTTTGTACCTTTTTGATGGGAAAAATACAATATTTTTGACAACACTTCCTTATCATCACGATTTTGTATTATCGTTAGACACACAATACCGTTCCGCTACAAACATTCCTTGGTTAGGCGTACTTTTTTTATAAAGCAAATTTTTTCTACGATTTTTCGGAAAAGTGACTCGAAAGGGATCGACAAGGTAGAATTTCCGGCGCTGGAAAACTTTTACTCAGTGAGAGTCGTGTCACCCTTTTTAGAGACAAATTTCGAGTTGTCGTTAACAAACTTTGTTATTATATCCAAAGGGGTTTACGCATTTTCATTTTTGTGTGCTAGCTAAGGTCTTTAAACCCGGGAAATGGCCAATATTACGGTGGGGAGGATATTGGGGGGAAATGGTGGAGCGGACGGTGGTGCATTTGGCGGTGGTGGCATTGGTTGTGGTGTGCTTGAGACCCTCTCCGCTTACACGACTTAGCTTCCGTTGAATTTTGAGGGGCCATTTTTAAAAATTAATAAAAATAAATTTTTTAAGAATTCAAAATGTCATATTGACCGACGATTAATAAGTCAAAACTTTACTGGAAAAAGTCAGTAAATTATGGTTTAATCTTTCAAATATAATATTATTTATTCTTAAACCATGTACATGTACATTTGTATTTTTTTATCATTTTTTAAATTATCATTCAAAATAAAATAATTAATAAAATTAATTTGTTACTTTGAAAAATTCACCCGGCATCTTTACTAAACACGAATAACAAATAAAATAAAAATGTTTCAAAGTTAATAGAGTCATATTAAAACCATAAAAATGTACCTTTTTCAACAATTAATTGTACTATTTATTGTTTATATCTCGTATAGATAAAAATGAAACATTGCTATTGTTGTGTTTGTTGTTTTTTTTTTTTTCGAATTGTATGTTTATGTATAATAATAAATCAATATATTTGAGAGCTGATCTATGTTTATTAATTATTGTAACCAAACTAAGTGACAAACATTCATTTTGGAAAAAAGCTTATTTATCTGTAAAATATTGTTCTGTTCTGTAACGATATCAAACATCTACTCCAAAAACCGGGAAGAATCGGACAATAAACGTGTGATACTTTTCGCCGGTCACTAGTATCACGGTCAAAATAGACCGGGAGAGACCGGAATTACCGATAGGGAGTACATCCCTCTATAAATAGATTTTCGGATATTTAGGTCATCAACTCATCATTCTATTTTAACATACCATGATAACCTACTGTGTACTACAAAAATGATAAATTAAAAAACCGAAGAGACGGAAAAAGGTTATTGCATTTGAAAAATGAAAAAGGTTATTGCATTTTTGAAAAAATGTTTGCATTGCGAAATCCTCCAGTTCGCTATTCATTTGTAACATATCGCGCCATATCGCGAACATTTAATTAATAATCAAGCACCCTCCATACCGATCGGAAAATGATCGGCTTTTATCATGACCGACTTAAAGGCTCGAAAGTTGCTGTCGCCGCCTTTCACAAAATCTGATTTTCGTTCCATAAAGGGGCGCCGCGCTTCGGCGCGGACGCCAATGATAATAATAATAATAATAATAATAATACAAAATGTACTTTTAAATCAATTTTCTTTAATTAAGAACAATTAATGCAATGCAATCTTCATTTTTGGTTATCAAATGAAACTTCATCAATTTGATCATTGTGTGTCAAAATACTTTTTAAACTTGTTATTCATTAAAGCCGCCAACATAAACCTCATTATAGCGTGAACTGTAGCATATTGAACACAGATTGGTTTCATCTTTATACATCATCTTCCCTTGCTTCAAGTCTCCGCTGACTTTATGAATTGTTCCATTACTATAACAGCAGACAAGTAATGACCCGTCATCTAACAACAACATTCCTTCTGGTCCTCTAAGATCTGTATGTTTATATGTAGCTGTAACTTCCCCTTGTAGTGATACACTCGTTATACTGTCGTTACCACGGTCACTGATATACAGAAGTTTGGACTCCTTACTAACAGCAATATGCGGTATATAGTCAGGTGAAAGAAATTGTAGAGGGAATTTATTGAGGATGTCACCATGTGTATTTAGTAAAATCACACTAGGAGGAGACCGACAAGTAACGTAAAGACGATCATGATTAAAGTCTATACCATAGCATGCCCTATCCACTTTAATACTGCGGACACATGATAGCTTGTCGTTTGTTGTCATGACAACTATTTCTTTGATATGCGGCATTGTTACTGCAAACTGATCCTGGGACATTACAGCAATATCAAATGGCATTGAGTCTAGAGCTTTCTTTTTTTGTACACGTCTGTTCTCTATAGATACCAATTTTATCTTGTTGTTACGGTAATCAGATAGAACAAGTTTATTTGTATCAAGAACAGCACATCCTGTAATATCCCAAGTTTTAACATTAATATTTTCTTTCCAACTCAGATGATCAACAGTTTTTGTCACCTTTGAAGGTTCATGACGAGAATGATCGACAATCTCACCAAAAACCATTTTCGCACACAACAATGTTTCCAGTTCAGAATTTCGTTGAAATGAGTAGTGCATATTGGTATGCAATAATGTTTGTTCTGCGTCAATTAATTCATCTGATTTCAGCGTAGATTCTGCCCGTTTCATGTCAATGTAGAGTTGACCGTCTTGATGAGTTGATTTGCTTGCATGTAGACTTGATTGCAAGCATTTTATACCGGAAATCATATTTTCACATTTATCAAGGACATGCTGAATAATTTTGTTGTTGTTTGACTTTATTTCCTCAGCATTATTTAAAACATCTTTTTGCATCAGATCTAGGCGGTCGTTTATTTCTTTTCGGAATTCAGTGATTGCCTTCATGATAACTTTATTGTAATCATTTGTATTAATTCTTTTGCCTTTAGCCTTCTTCGAAATATCTTCTGCTTTTTTTAATTTGTCGCAGAGTTTCTGCATGACGTCATCGAATTCCTTCCCATCTGCGACACCTTCGCACTTTTCAGGTATGTAATCAACATTACATGTTCTATGGCCTAAAGTTATGCAGTCATTGCATCCGAGTGCATGGTGTGATGGGCAATAAAATTTGATTATTTCTTTTTTGTGAACTTGACACATTTCAGTGCATTCATTTTTTGATTTTCTTGTAGTTTGAATCTTATTAAAATCATAACGCTGCAAAATTTTATGATTTCGTAAGACTTTTGTTTTTCTGTGGACATCGTGGCAAGTTTTACAGAGGTATTCTTGACAAGTAACACAAAACCCGTGAGCTACTATACGTTGACCTGTGGTAAGGCATGGCTCACAGCAGTGATCAAAGTCTTCTTCTGATCCTTCTGCTACTGATCCTAGCAAGTCTACTTGTTTACGTCCTGATACCGCCATTTCTGGAATACAAAATACAAAATTTTTATCGAAAGCTTCCTGATTACTAAAAATGATATATTATTCAATTTGGCACATAACGAAATTTTACTTAAAACTTAATTAACCAAAAATGAAAAACGATTAATGTGTATTGCTTAATCTATCGCTTTGTAGCATTGAAAAAAAATCTCAACTGACTTATGACCTTGATATTAAAAGTTTAACTTCTTTGACAAACATGCCCAATTTATAAAGTAATATAGGAGAAAACTATTAAGTGGTTTTATTTATATAAAACATGCATTCAGGAAATGATAAATACAGTACATTGTCGGTTTTACCTTTCAAACGAAAATATGCTATTTAACATGTATTAAAATCGGTGTTCAATCCTGGAATACAGGATATAGAATTTTTTTATCACTATTTTCCTTTTTACTAAAAAGGATATGTTATTTAAATTTGTTCATAGCGAAATTTTACTATCATCTTAATTAACCAAAATGATCAACGATTAATGTGTATTGCTTAATCTATCGCTTTGTAGCATTGAAAAAAATCTCAACTGACTTATGACCTTGATATTAAAAGTTTTACTTCTTTGACAAACATGCCCAATTTATAAAGTAATATCAGAGAAAATTATTAAGTGGTGTTCAACCATAAAACGTTTTTTTTTATTTATGTATACATGTATATAGGAAATGATAAATACAGTACATTGTCGGTTTACCCTTTAAACAAAAATATGCTAATTAACATGTATTAAAATCGGTGATCAATCGATAAAGTTTGATTTGACATAGTTGTGTTAATTGATAATAATCGTATTGATTAAGGGATCAGTTTTCACAATGCGTCTCACAAATGTAGGCTAATAATTAGTCCAACTAAATGTACTGCGCGACGAGATATTGTGCTACATTGTATTTTTGTCTGGGTAATATCTCGCCTCCACTAAGCAGAACGAAAATATCTCAGAATCTTACGGTGGCATAGAGGTGACATTTGCTGTTTTACTTTATCTCGTAGCCACGACTTATTATCTTGAGGCCCCAATATAATATCTCGTGGCCACGACTTATTATCTTGTTGTCTCAAGATATTATCTCGTGGGCACGAGTTATTATTTCGTGACCACGACTTATTATCTCGTGGCCTCGACTTAACATCGTGTGGTCTCAAGATATTATCTCGTGGGCACGGGAATTACCCTGTGGCCACGACTTATTATCTCGTGACCACGAGTTATTATCTTTTTGCCACGACTTATTTCAGCCAATGAAAATGGTCGTTTAATCTTATAATCTTATAAAATAACTATACTGAGCGTTTTTAAAAGCGCAATATGGTAGACTTCGGGTTTAAATTGATAAGATTGAGACATACTAAGATTGAGACCACGTATGTCCATCTTTTTTGTTGTTGTTGTTGGTTTGTCTGTTTGTTGAATTGTTTGTTTGTTTGTTTGTTTTTTTGTTTATTTTTTATTTATTATTATTATTCATATTTTCACCATTATTGAAGTATGTTGTTCGTTTTGTTTAAATTTGTTTAAATGAGTTTTGGTAAAGTATATACTAGAATTAATAGAGTCTACTAGTATATAAAAAATTAAGAATTAACATTTAAAAATGCTCGGATTAAAGATAGTAAATTTTATTTCAATGCCGTAAAACACAATACAAATCGACATATATCCGTGCAGACAATTTTCAAGCACTAGGCCATTTCCATTAAAATATAAATATTAATTCTCGTCAAATATACGGACAAAACCGAAGTGCAATCGGATATTTAAATGAGTGCTTTAATGTTTTCATAATTGACAGGGCACTTGATCATAAGTGAACAGTAACAAAATCAATTAGGTCAAGAGCAGCGCAGCTGTTCAAAGTACTATGTACTTGTGTATATTGTTATCTAAAGGCTAATTTGTACATTTCACAAGAAGTATAAAAACTGATATTAACTAAATGAACATTATATCTTTAGAAAACAAATGAGCCGCGTCACGACAAAAAACCAACATAATGGGTTTTGCGACCAGCATGGGACTCCAGACTAGCCTGCGCAATCCGCGCAGTCTGATCAGGATCCATGCTGTTCGCTTACAAACTTTATATCAAGTAGAGAAACTGATAGCGAACAGCATGGATCCTGATCAGACTGCGCGGATGCGCAGGCTGGTCTTGATCCATGCTGGTCGCAAATGCATTATGTTGGTTTTGTCGTGACGAGGCTCAAATATCCTTTTCTTCGCATGTAGAAAGTACAAACATGAATGATAATTCAAATAATGGCCAAGAGCATGTTAGAAGCTTATTATCAGCAGAGAGTAGCTCCGCTGAATGTAAAATTATTTGTCATAAAAGTAGCAAACTTTAAACAAAGTAGTGTGTGATATATTAATTTAATTTTGTGTTGTTCATTCGACACGAAAGTAGAACATTTCTTTTGAGGACAGTTTTTTTATAAAAAAGTTTACTTAAATATTTCACTGCATAGCAATCTATAAAAATACTTGTGTCTGTGAGTGAAAATCTATCAAATTCACTTATGGAATCTTACAGTATTTTCATCTCTATGAATTTAAGTAAGTAACGGTAAAAATATATGATATGCTACGATATAGCTTTACATGATTTGGTCAATTTCATTTGTCAGTTGTTTAATATTTTACAGTTTGGCTTGTTCCTAAGAGGGACATTCTTTATCATACGAGTAGTATTCGCTCTCAGTCCGTGTCAAAATGTTTATATACATGTACGTTGTTCCGTAGATGGTTTTCTATATCACATATGGATCTTTTAAGCACATTTGAAGCTCGACTGGAGGTTTGACAGAAATTCCTTTTTTTTTCTTTTTTTCGCCAATTCTCAATTAATGTTTAGCATCGTTTGGCCGTAAGACTGTGAAACTCGTGTTTTGGACACACAAGAACACATGACGAAACATATCTCGACAAAGACTTAAAAAAATCCGGTACAAAATGGATAAATTTAGAGATAAGTCAAAAGGGTAGAATCACATTTCGATTTCCTTTCAAAAAAAGCTTTGAAATTGATATAAATGTTTAAAAAGTTAAAATCTTACCCTGTGATTGACCTGTTTCCTCCTCCTCATATATTTGTTATATCTGGATCAGCGGAAATACCATATATTTTTACCAAGTTTTATGAAAGGTTAACACATTCCCGGAGGAGTTAAGTATATAGTCATAGCAGTCCAACTGTTGAGAAATTGTGCTTATTTGTGTAAGGGAAGAATCCGCACTCTACTTGAAGTAGAGATTCTGACCCAAAGCAGGACGGGATTTCAAATACTTCGAGTGTCTTCCACTACTCTTACAATTGTCTCTCAATTATATACTCTTGTTTGGAGTGTCCCTAATATAAAACAATGGTACCCATGTGATATGATATCTTCCTTTTCTTTTTACTTTAAAAGTGTTTTTTACCGATATTACATCAGTCTTTGAAAATGTTAAAAAGAAAAATTAATTTTTGAAACGGGAAAAATAAAAAAAACCCAACCCAAACAAAGAATAATTGGTAATTTTAGGGGAAAAAAGCCCCAAAAGGGGGAAAAGGACAAAATAAATTTTTTCATTGGTCAATTTAAATTAGAAATTTAAAAATTTGAAAACTCCTTTTTTTCCCTTGAAATTTTCTTTCTATGTTTTTGAATATAAAATTTTAATAAAGTTTTTTTTGTCGGGGGGTTAAAGGTTAAGATAATTTTAAAATCAGGAGTTTGAACCTTAAGGTTTAAAACAAAGGGTTTAATTTCTTCTTTATCTTTAAGCAAAAAAAAATCACAAAAAAATTTTTGGGAAAAACAATCTAATTTTTAAAGGTTCAGAAATTAAACCAAAAATTAAAAAAAAAAAGTTTCTGTTTTTGCACTGCCAACTTTTGAAACCAATGGCTTTGCCATAAAAATTTTATTTAGTACTTCTTGTAGATTCCAAATACGTTACTAGACGCTCCCTGACAAAGAGCTCAAAGTGTACAAAAAAAAGGACAATAATTTCCCAAAATAAGGTAAAAAGCAGGTTATGGCGTTCTTTTGCACTGCCACTTCAATTTAATAAGATCTTATTTATCTACAAAATGTCATTATTGATATTCTCTTACCAGTTTTTAGGGTTAATATTCCCGAACAAAGTTTACCTTTAAATGTTCAATTAAAAGAGCCAAAGTCCAATTTTGAGTTTGATAAAACATGAAGATCTTGTGCCTTAAGAAATGTTCTGTTATAATTTGGATGTCGATCCATTCAATAACTATCACGACGATAGGTGCCAGCCAGTTCACAGCCAGTTACATCCGCGAAAAAAAATGAAAAATTTCAATATAATTTGACCCTTCAAAGTCGAGGTCATTTATGAGTTAAGGTCAAGGTCTTGTCCTGGTTATTTTTTAAGGGTTATCCTTGCAAATCATTATGTTCAAGTTTGAAGACAATTCATTCAAAAATAACAAAGTTACAGCAAATAATAGCAAGAACACGCAAAATTTTGGACTTTCTTCTATGCATATTTAATTTTTAACTAACTAAAACATATGTGTTTATGTTTTAAGACCCATTTTGTGTGGGAGAGTAGCTTTGAAGTCTATTTTCGCAGCTATCATCAAAAACATGTGTTTTGAGGAAAAACAATAAACAGCTTCAGTCGCACATCCGCCGCTCATTTTTAGTTTTTTTAAATCGTTTTAATTAATTTCCTATTTTAACCCAATAAAAATTGCGAGAGATTTTATTATAAAAGATATATAGGTCTGTAGTTGGTTAATTTGTTTTTTTTTTTTTTTTTTTTCCCTTTCAGAATTTTTTTTTTTACAAAGCTCATCACTTTGTCGTAGTCGTAAATTGCTACATTCAAATGTTAACCAGTTCCAGTCTGCAGCACCAAATTTTACTTTATATAAACATTCTCACTTATTTACAGTAATTTTATCAGTGATTTTTCCGAGATCATTGATTCCACTGATTTCTTTTGTGGGAAAAACAAATACATCTATGAACATAGAAATTATGGTTATATCTTTTGTAAGACCTAGAAAAAAAATAGGTTTGCTTTATCAAAAGTAATGTATGACCACAGTATTCATTTGCTCACTCGTAAATATTTGAAACAGAAAATTTGGGCAGGTGAATCAAAAAATTACTTTTACCTTTTCCTAATTAAGATATATCATACATGTATATGTCCGATACAACTTCAAACTTTTTTATATTTCGATTACCAATAACCATGTTTTCTCTTATATTTTCTAAAATATTACAAAAACGCGATGGAGCATTTTTTTCCCCGGGGGTTTAAAATGATTTCGATTTCAATTGCCCGTTACCGCTGTTATTTTCGAACCCTTTGGTAAAGACTTTTAAACTCTGACGTCATTTTTGCCCCGGGGAAACCTTTCTGCTTTTAAAGCTGAAAGTTGGATTTTAACTGATACGGGTTTTGGTGCAAACTTTAAAACCCAAATTTACAAAATATACCAAAAAAACACTGTTTTAAAAATTTTCAGGGCCATGCATTTATTTTGTTTTTCCCAAATGTAAAAAAATATTGTTTTTAAAGATATAAAATCAGCTCCGTTAACTTATGATGAAATCTACCGCAACTAAGTTAATAAGCTTTGATTTATATAATATTGTATTTAAAAATACAATAATAAGGGGTGATCTAGTCTAAGGATATTGGCGGTATTTGCAGGAGCAACATCAGTACTGTATGTAAATAACTACCACAGCTTTTGCAAATATTTTACTGAGACTCCCGCATTCAAGTTTTGTCTTCGAGTCCGAATTGACAATGGACACAGGGGTAAATATGATTTAATTGCATGTGACATTTACGCGCACATAAGAGCACGTGATAACAGGAAGATGCATAATGACAACGTAATGGTAATGTAAGAGAAACCAACCAAAGATTGCAAAATAATAACAACCAAAAACAGACCAAAAATATAAAAGACGAATGTACATATACATCTTTCATGTATAAATTCGCCTCTCTATCTCTCTCTTCTTTATCTTTACTATTCCTCCTTTAATATACCTGATATTAGAACCAGACAATTTGGCTCATTTATTGACAACATCATCTGTTTTGTTATATCAAAATTAAAGCACGCAGAAGAAATAAATAAAGACATAATTCAATCACAAGAGCAGAAGTTTTATTGAGAGATACAATAAGGTGGCAAAGGTGACAAAATTTGGGAAAAGTGGTGATCCATTGAAACATCTCAATGAATGAATCAATCAAACTATTTATCATATAGTTTCTACATTTTTCTACATGTACATGTATTGGTTGTTCAATAACATATTCGGTAAGTTCCCTTTTTATTATTTACATTCTAACGTCAATGTGATATGACAAAAAGCTAAAGGTAATGTAGTCGACATTACTTCTTGCATATCAGACTGGATTATCTACTGCTTACACGGGTGCTTGACAAAACTTTCTTACACTCCCGAGTTATATAAGCCGCATGCTTCAGATGACGTAAGAACCATTTTTGAATGAATTGGTTCTTAGAATGATATTTTTCCCGTTATAAATTTAAAATTTGTAAAATTTATACAAAATTTTAATGCTACAAATAAGAAAAAAATGTTCCATAAAAATATTCTTTTTTCCGGAAATTTTTTTCCCGAAAAATTTTTTTTATTTGTTTTTTGCAAGACAAAAAAATCAAACAAGGGCTCTCGTTAAAAGACCGGGTTTATTAAGCTCTCAGATAATTTTTTAGGGGAAAAACTGGACAAAAGCCTCTTTACCACCCCCCGTAAAAATTACGAGTTTGATTTTCCCCGTCTGTACTGGCACCCGGGTTTTAACACCCTTAAATTATAAAATCCCGTTTTTAAAATTTTTATTTTTATTATTTATTAATAATTTGTAATACCCAATAAAATTTAAATTTCCCAAAATTCAATGAAAAAAAAATTCATTCATTTCCAAGGGGTTAATTCAATGTTACGTAGAAAATTTTAAAAATCAGTTTTCTTTTTAAATTTGGGAAAATTTTACTAACAGTTTTGCAATATAAACAAATTTTTCAAAAATTCTTTTTTCAATATAAAACACTAAAATTTTTACCCCAAATTTTATAAAAAAACCCCTTGAAAGGGTATACATACAAAAAAAAGATAAATTTTTGTTTTCCATACATTGTAAAATTATTATCGGCTAGTTGATGGACAACTTTTAATGTTGTCTGTTGATAACGAAATTTTTGGTGTGATAACAAAGGATAATCAGGTTCTAACATAATTTACAATTTAATGACAAGTGATAGTGAGTGTCTTTAAGCAAAAAGCTTCCTATTTCTGAACTTTTCAATGCATACTATACATTCAAGTAGCATTTCGAAAGAGGAAACAAATAGTATTTATGTCTGTAATCTAATGCTTGTTTATCATTACAAAACACAAAAGAAAAAAAACGTTCCCAAAAATATATAGTACACAGCTGTTTTTTGTTGTAGTCTAAGTGCAATATTTTTGTCTTTATCGGTAATGTACAAATGTCATATGACGGTGTTGTTTTTCAAGATTTATTAAAAAATAATACTGATTACAAAATGTATATATACGACCCAGCATGCTTACAGATATATGCAATACATCAAATAAGTCTGTTAATTAATTCAAAGAATAAATTCTAATTATACAATCACACTAAAGTCAGAGTTTCCTAAATAGGCTCATCATGCGCAGAACACACAAATAAAATATTTATCTTTTGATGAAGCGTAAACTAAGATAATAATTATAACAAAAAAACACGATGCTAGGTATAGAAATAATTATATGCAGACATAAACGTTTAAAAAAAGTTAAGATTTACTTTAAACTATCACTATCGTTATGAAAGTACCATTAGAAAGAACAACTTATCAGTTTGAATAAATAATAGTCGATTAAAATCGAAATATATCAAGACAATCTGCGATATACGAGAAATTTGTTTTTGGATATTTTTTACATCTAATGTCAAAATTTCGTACATTTGATAGGCATGATCATGAAAAAGCTTCAAAATATATGTAGTGCACATAAACATAGTACAATAAAGTATTCAGTATTTAAAGTTGTTTTTATATGTGATATCAAACTTAATGATTGAACAAACTAGGAAGTAAGACATGCTTATATTTTATATTACGCGAATGTTACAGGCTGAAGAGTGCCGTCCTTTGTCCGCCTCCACAGATGTAAAACGAAATATAAATGATG